CCCATCTGGGACCTTTACAGGCAGGGAAGCCTGTTTTCTTATCTACCTTCTCCTCAGGATACAGTAAAGCACTGGAGCTTTCTCTTTCTGCCTGTCTTTGTTGCATTAAATATTGAAAGCTCAGAATCTCTAAAGCCACTGGTAAAAAGCTGTCCCCTCTTTTGGACTTCTGAACCAGAGCTGAAAGCTTATTCCAGTCTTCTGCTTGACTGGAAGGAAAAGTGCCAAGAAGACAGGCACTTCTCAGGAAGACCATACACTCCACATCCTATAGAGCAAGGCACTGAGGAAGCTACTCTATTAATACCACTGTCTGAGCTGCCTGTGCAGGTGACTTAGCACTTCTGAAATTGGAAATGGCTTTCCAAAATGTCTGCTACACAGAGAAAGGGTGAAGAGTGAAAAATAGAAGACCCAAAACAATATATTTGGCAAGCACATTGCAGAAACTGCTAGTACATGCTGCGGTCCCAGAGCCAGTGGGCTGTGCTTACCTCATTTGTTTCACGTAGGTGAACCTAGCCAGGATGTTTTCTTTAGTCGTGGGCAGTGTGACAAGAATGGGACATCCAAATAAGGTCACTCAGGATGTGTTTAACAACACCGGGTAAAGTCTGTGGCAAAGGCTCATGCACACACATACACACAGAGCATCCATGGCACATACCGTTGACTTAGTGCGTCATTATTCCTAGAATAACTTCTGGAGAGGCACTCCACCCTTGTATTTCCAATGCTGAAAATGTGATTGTCCCTGAGCCAGTTATTACAGTAATTTTAAGAAAGGGGAGGCAGTGGGAAGGGACCCTGATTTTTCTGACCTCTTTGAAGGGATGATATGCAAAGAAAATTTTTAAAAGCAGAGGCAGTTTCAAATCTGTCAGTCCAAACTCCCTCATGATCTTTGAAACAGCAGAGAGAGCAAGAGGCTTCCTGAGGCCATCCCGGATCCCCGAGTTCTGCAAAAGGACAAGCCATGCACCTGTTTAAATATAAGTCAATATGCTCTATTAAGCAACAGTGCTACAGGTGCTTCTACGTGATGAAAGGTAATCCAGCACTGTGAGGGAACGTGCACTTTTACTCATAGGAGAATCCTGGAAGGTAACCCCATTATATTGAGTAGGAAACTACTTTTTTTAACCTGCAAATTTCTGATGGTGCATAAAGCACTTTCAAGTGGTTTGCGACAGGTCACTGAGAGCAAGTCACCTGTAGTAACCTAAATTTGTTGTAAAAAAGTTTGCTTTTCCCTTGGAAGTCCTCTGCCGTTGGCTGGAGCGATTAGCAATAAGAGAAAGGAGTTACTTTGCTAGCAGCAGGATATGGGGTGACATATACGGTTGCTGAGATCAGGGTTTTACAGATCTGAAATGCTAAGCTTTGCTCAAAGAATGACCTAAAGCTGAAAGTCAAAGCAGTCAAAATGGGGGAAAGTCAGATCCTAGGCTGCTCCCATAACCCTAACTCAGGTCCTTCTGTGTGCAGTGTTGGGTATAATTTGCAGCTGAGTGATCATACTTAAATAAATCACAAAACCTTCCCCCCAGCGTTTGCTTAGTTCAGCGCAGGAAGTCGTTATGTGCATTTACAGATATTCCGTGCCCCGTGTCCTGCTTGCTGCGTGCCCTGGGCTGGCGCCCCTAGCACACGCTGCGCCAGCGAGGCGCGGGCGGCACGGGCATCGCAGTCAGGGCCCCCGGCCCTGCCGAATGCCCGGACTCATGGGCTTACCCAGAACCGTGCTGCCTCCGGAGCAAGGAGCAAGCAGGCAGCGGGAGCTGGGGTGAAGGCACGGCAGAGAGAAGGAGGGGAATGAGACCCACCAAGGGCCAGAGCATCGGTTATTTTCTCAAGCGAATTTCAGCCTGCAAGCTGGTGCCTCTCTTCCGCCTTTTCCTCTCAACCTCGTTTTGAAGGGAGAATTTCCTCACTTTACCTCAGTGGTTTGCGACATCCATCACAGTGGTACCTCCAGGCCTTCGCAGGATGCTTTCCAGCAAAGCCCTGTGCCACTGTGGCACCGGACACTGGCTGTGTGCCATCCCTGCCATGGGAAGTGGAAAATGGGGCAATGTGGCCACCCTGACCATAGCAATGTCCCTGCTCAGTCCTGAGGCATGGGCCAGACCTGCCCCTTCCCACCAGCGTGTCTCAGGCGCCACGCGTGCTCGCACGGCTGTTTTCACAGCATCCGTTTTCCATCCTATCTGCTTAAAAGTGTAGGCTCCTCGTAGGGGGGACTAGCCTATTTTCATGTTTGAACAAAACTCAGCACTACCTGAATTATCTATCCACTTGGACTAAGGTAGCAGTTAATGAAAATGAGCAGTTCTGAATTTGTGGAAATGTTTTTGGTCTTCAAATTCAGTTCCATTTTTTTCTTTCTTCTAAACCAAGCAAAATCTGTAAGACTCTTCCGCTTATTCTTTACTGAGAACTGAGAAAAGCTGTCTCAATTCATCAGACATCTCCAAACAATACAGAGATACAAAAAAGCAATATCAACATATGTGGCAAAAGTGGCAGAAATATTATTACTGATGCAACAGCATAACAATACACGAGGAAAAATGTCCTCATCACTTCTATTAGGCTAACAGACACAGCTGAAGAAGTAAACAAGCTGGTTACTTCATCAACAGCTGAAAGGGGTAGGAGGAGGTAAGTGGCATACCAAAAGAAGGAATAAAAAAGAAATGGACTGTTAAAAAAAAAAAAATACCAGACACAGTGGGCATTTATAGATTTAAAATAAACAAAATAAAAGTTGATGAAAAGGCAAAATTTGCATTATCATCCACAAAAGCAGATTTAAATAAATTCACATTAGCCAGCAGCTTAAACAGAACTCAGCAAAGTCTGGAGTTTTGCTGACCCAGTGGGAAACTTTTGAAAATGCTGAACAGTTTAAGCATGTGAAAGTAGTCTTTGCTTCTTTGACATATAAAAAAATGAAACAGTCACTCACAACTGGCATTTGCTAAAGTGGGGTTTTAATACATTTTTCAAATGTCTGAGAACTGTTTCTCTGCAGCTAGGGCACCAGAGAGATCAAATCAGTGCATGATGGCAAGCACAGAAAAATTTCATGATGAATATGAAATATCAAACCAGAAAATCTGTATTCAAGAAAGAATCACAAAAATTTCCAAGAGAACATGCTATCCTCTAAGTGCCTCTCACAGAAACTTTTGCAGCTGCTTCTGAAGTATACATATGCACATTCCCGTGGTAGCCTAATGAAAGGGAGCAAAAGAAAAACAAAACAAACAAGCAACAACAACAAACCCCAAACATTTGTTTTAATACCAGAGTGAAAGATATTGGTGGATAATTTCAACAATAGATACAGTACTTTAAAAAGGAGAAGAAAAAATAACCCTCCTTTCCTTCTAAGCTATATTTTAAATTAAAGCATTTTGGATGTTATAACCAGTAGAACATCTGTAGCTTGGACTGCTTCTCAGTGAAGACAGCTTTGTCAGTCTACTCAGTTTAAGATATGACCCTTATACACTTTGGCTAAAAAATGCTGTCATTTACACAGGTGTATATACACTGACGCAAGTCTCTAGATTTACACAGAAGAATTTGGCAGAGTTTTGCTAATTTTAAACAATAAAAAAAATCAGATCAACTTTTGCAGTTGGTTACGGTTGTATCAATCTATAATATGCTCGGTGCTGATGGCACTGTTCCACAGCTTGTTAATGAAACTAAGAATTTTACATACTGTGTCCAACTACAGACTGAAAACGAACCTAAGACTGTTACAATCAAAAACCTCAAGTTTCTTTTTTTTTTTTTTTTTTTTTTTTTAATATTAATTTATTGTTTGGTACTCTTTTCAGTTTTGTATTAATTTTTGAAAGAAACCTTGACACAGTATAGTTTTATAATTTGTTATTCCTATCATCATTGTTTTACACAGCATATAATACAGCTTTTTTATACCGTAAATGGAACCATATTTTTTTAAATCAGAAAATTTGTTTGTAAAGACACAGAACATTGGCAGGACAACTGAAAAGTAAGTGTATTATCTTGGAACATTTTTTAACACTGCTGTCCATTTATTACTTTTCTGCTTTGTTATGTCCCCTTGTGGTTCTTCCAAGCTTGCTTGCTATACCTGAAGTAATAAAAATGTGCCGATATGAGTGATTTCAGGTTTGATTCAGATCCTAGAACTACTAGCCATACTAACCAGTATGACTCTGCAAAAGACTGCCACCCAGATGTGCAATGTAGGAAAGAACATGCAGATTTTAAGAGTTTTACAGGTAATTTTCAGCTGTTTGGCCAACTTTAAATTATTTAGGTGACTTAAAATGAAACAGTAGAAATAAAAGGGACAGCTTATTTCAAGTAGGCTGTACTCCTATTGAGTCTCCTTTGCTTAAATGTAGTGACACAAATATCAGCCCAACAGGCTCACTGCTAAACTTACACCATAATAAAGGGCCAGGACAACCTAATATCACATTTTGATATGTTTGCAAAAAATTCTAGCAGTATTTGATGTTTCCATTGAATCAGAAACTGAGAGTGGAAGTGGGAATCTGGAAAGTAAAGATAATTCAGGTCTGAAGGGTCATTCCCTTCAGTAAAATTAAAGTGCAGTGGATTGCTCTTCCTGGATCTAACAGTAGGGGCGTGGGAAGCTTTCAGATGTCACAGGGTTGTAGATAACATTTGAACATATGATTAGCTTTCGTGAGCTGTCTTTAGAAACCCTACATTTTTCCCCCCGCACCTTAGGCAGAGATCCTTCCCTTGAGGTTTCGGGACACTTAAAATGTTGCTTTGACAAAAATCAAGGATGTGGAGAGGTTTTTCCTGTGTGATGTCATTTTGCTGCTCTTTATAAGCCTCTGCAGGAAAGAAGGGAACCTATCTGAGGATTCACACTCCAGGCACAGGTGACCAAGGGCAAGAGAGAAGCACAGCAGCGTGTCAAGTTGCAGATCCCGGCCACCTTCTAGGAGCGGCCAGCCATGCCACAGGGCAGTCCCTCCAGCTGCCTGGGGTACCTGCTGCTGGTACTCTGCAGCCTGAAGGCTACCCTCGCCTTTCCCAACTCCTCTCCGCTGCTGAATCCCAGCTGGGGGAATGGAGACCGCCTGATGCACCTCTACACAGATACAGAGAGGAACAGCTTCCATCTCCAAATCAATGCTGATGGCTACATTGATGGTGCTCCTCACCAAACCATTTACAGTGAGTAGCTTACGATGGACCCTCAGTCTCCATGGGAGCAGGGGAGGGAGAACAAGACTTTTGCTTTCTCATCGCCTATAGAAAATCTCCTCTCATTAGGCAGACAGGCAGAGGAGTATAGCTATGGGATGGAAAATACACATCATTATAAACCTCCTTCTGTTTAACAAATAAACAAAATCACTCCAAAGAAATCTGGTGGATGGGGAATTTAATTTCTTGCCTAAGAGAAGTAAAGTCCCATGGTTCCTATAATATTCTGCAAGCAAAAGTTACCTGAACTATCCTTCACTTCATGATTTTACCCACAGCTTCTTGTGGAAGTTCCTATTAGAGGCTGCTGATGACATCCTCCAAATAGCTACTTCCAGTTGCACTGACAGTATTACCAAAGGAACTGCACTGAGGAAACTCACTACAGCAGTGGTGGAAAATTGATAGCATCTGTAAAATCTGTATTTTGGGGTAGAGAGCTGACAACTACTAAAACTAACTCCAATGTGCATAGAACATGTATATGCAAAGTTCGATTATAAAGGGGGGGAAACTACGAAAGGCCAGACAGTCATAACAGAAGTGCTAAGCCTTTGGGGTTCATGAGAAGTAACTATTCCCTAGTGTAACTAAAAGGTTCTCAAATTGTCTCATCATAGTTCATTTACATGGAAAGCTGAAGTGTTTCTTCCTTGCTGAATACCTGTCCCAAACACTATAGTTAGTAGAAAAAATGGGGTTTTTAAGACTTAGGGTTCTTTCATAGCATTTCAAAAGTACTTTTCTTTTAGTAGCGCTCAGATCACTAGTAGCTGGGCATCATAAAGTCATGTTTATTATTATTGTTGCATTGCATCTTCTTCATACACTCAATTAAAAATGTAAGCATATGTAATGACAATTTTATGTAAGTATATAAGGAACAAAGGAATATTTTTAAAGTTATCATTTAATCAATGAGAAAAAAGGATCAAGCTCTGCTACTTTTAGGAATTACTAATGAAAAACCTGCAGGAACACTTGCACTGTCTTGTTATTCTTCCTGCATATTTAAAGGTTATATAAAACTCATTTTAGGTATGTTGGTCAAGAACCAGTGTGATGTTTTAGAGACCAAGAGACAGCAAAATATCACGTTTTTTTCCCTTATCTGCCATGAAGCAAATATACCAGTATTTGGAATGGTGAAGCAGGAAGGGTGAAAATCAGAAAATGAAAAGGGTCATGGAAGGGAAGGTGACTGAGTTTCTGCCAGGTCACCACGGTACCACTGGGTCACCATATAAATGAGAAGTGTAAGGTTCTGCACCAGGGCTGCAGTAACCCCATGCAGCTGCACAGGCTGGATGTGTACGGCACTCCTGGATAGGACCTGAAGGTCACAGCAGGCACCGAGGCAAACAGAAATCAACGGCACGCTCATTTTGAGAGGCAGGCAAACCACCTACTGTGGTCAGCAGCTCAGGGAAAGTTGTTACTTCCACCTTACTTCCCATCAGTGAAGCGGCTCTTGGAGCACTATAACAACCGCAGTTCAAAAAGGATGTGGACAAACTGGAGCTGGTCTGGCAGAGGGTTTTCAGGATGGTCAGGGGCCTTGAGCACCATCTATCAGGAAAGGTTAAGGGAGCTGGGCTTGTCCAGCAAAAATTAGGTTAAGGATAAACTAATACCACCGGGCAGTCACAAAGCTGAGGGAGACAAACTCTCCTTGGTAGTGGCCAGTGACAGAACTGAGGGAAATATGTCCCCACATTGTGGTTTGGGACTCCAGAGGGAATGTTAGGGGAAAAAAGTTGTCTTGGGGAGGTTGGTGCGGCACTGGAACAGGACACCTGGGGAGGTGGTGCCACCTCCATCCAGGGAGCTTTCCAAAACTCAGAGGGACAAAGATAACCTGATCTAGGGTGGGCAGTGGCCCCAGGTCCTGGGGAAGGTTAGTTCAGACCCCCCAGGCGACACTTCCAGACAGAGCATCTGCGGAGCTGTGAGGCAACGGTGCAGCGTTGAACTGGGTCCTGGATTTGACACTTTTGTTTTTCTATACAGGTGCTCTAATGATCAAGTCCGAGGGTGCTGGCTCAGTAATCATCACAGGTGTGAAGAGTGGGCGCTACCTATGTATGGACATGAAAGGAAACATTTTTGGTTCGGTGAGTGACTTTACTAAGACTCAAGGCTGAAAGGCAGGCGCATGGCTGGTGTGGTGCCTGTTTCCTCAGCTGGGGAAAATCTGTACAGATGCAGTAGGTAGATGCAGATTTAATTGAGCTGAGGACTTAGGTTAAACTTTCCTCTCTTCTTTGATTGTTTTAAGCTGTAGAGCTGACAAAAATCATCTGAGTTCCTACTTGGGTAAACAAGGGCAGAAAGAGATCTGGTGATGGACCAATCTGAATTCCTGCAGCAGTGTAGAGCCATGCGTTGGGAGTAGCTCAAACGACGCAGCCCTCTGAGAGAAAGCAGTGTTATCATTATAATACCTCTGCTGAAAACATGAGTGTGCATCTCAGATCTATATTTGACTGAAGCCTGAGCTGTCTGAGTTACAGGGCTGGCAGATCAGAAAAACACCTGCTGCAAGATCTCATACCTCTTTCTGTCTTTAATTGGCACTTGTCGTTCACCAAAGCCCTCTGCTCACAGCTGTCTTATTTTTTTCCCTAAGCATTACTTCAGTCAAGAAGACTGTGTGTTCAACCACAGGACACTGGAAAATGGATACGACGTGTACCAATCCCCCAAACACAAGTTCCTGGTTAGCTTAGGGAGAGTTAAACAAGCTCTCTTCCCTGGAATGAATCCACCACCATACTCTCAGTTTTTGTCCAGGAGAAACGAAATCCCTTTGTTTCGATTCAACACACCTGAGCCCCACAGGAACACTAGAAGTGCAGATATCGATCCAATGGATCCTCACCAGATCCTGGTCCCGCAGAGGAAGATCTCTGCATACGAATCTCAGTTGCAGCAGCAAGCAGACTTCTCCCACACACCCCGAGAGCCCATGAGAATCAACCAGAACGATGTGGTCAACCCGGATGACCCACACGCCATGATGGATGCCAGGAGGTACCCAAGTCCTCGCTTTTATATTACAAGATAACTGTGGCCCTGCCACCTGCAAGCTGAAGACATGGGTGAATATAATAGGCAAAAGGAACCGTCTAGCACGCTCAGGCTGAATGACAAAATGGCTATTAGAAACCTGAAAGACATTGGGAAAAAAAAATCCTTATTTCAAATTTTGTACTTACAGATGACAGTTACTGAGAAAACAAGTTGGACATTTTCCAGTTGGGGCTCTGTTTTACTGGAAAGAAGATACATTTTTGAAAAGAATAATACAAACCAAACATTTTAGGGTCTGAATCACCTTAAGTAGGCATTGGTGAAAGGAATTCACTTGAGTGAAATGAGAAACCGATGTTATGTTACTAATGTAACTGGGAAGAGACCTGCAGCATCTGAGATTCCAACAGAGACAGGGAATCCTCTTACGAGCACCATCCCTGGCTGTGCAAACACAGCAGACAAACCAACTGATGGTGTGTTATATTATTATATAAAAATTACTATATATGTTTTTAGCTGTTAAGTTGGAACTTCAGTCTCTTTTCATGCCCATATATGTCAAAAAGTGGCCACTGCTGTCATAGGAGCAGCACACACAGAAAACTGGAGTAGCTGACAGAACAACAGGACAGGATCAGTTGTTGTGTAAATGGTGATGTGTAGACGGTAATTTCTGACACTTACTGAATCCAAGCTGAGGTTTGGGGAAAAAAGACAAGAGTCTCACTGTCTCTCAAGTGCTTCTCTATCACACTTCTACATTCACTAAATTCTAGCATCACCATATGGACATATAATGAAGAGATATTCATTAGTTTTGTGTATTTCCAACCCAGAGAGAACTATCAGGATTACTAATAATCAATAGCATGTTAAACAGGATGGTTTGTTTTGCGCACTTCTGAACTATACAGGAGAAAAAAAATGCAAAAAATTATGCCTCATAGGTGTCCAACTATTAATAGCTCATGAAGACTCTCATCTAATGAGTGAAAATTAAGTTTGCATTTAGAAAAGGAGGATCTAAGTTTAGCATCCATGGTTCTATTTAGTTCTGAGCAGGTATCAGATGTTTTATACTTGTACAAGTGAAATTACTTTAATATTAATCAGGAGATATCTAATGTTAACAAAACCTTTTCCCTAGATTGGTATATGTTATGGGTAAGTTTACTTATCAGAAACTAACCTCTATATATACATCCAAAGTTTACAGATCTTTAGTTAAGATGCGGTATCTGCAGAGCAGAGCTTCTTATTGTAATAATAGAATTCACTACAGATTGACTGGTTTTAATGAGCTATATTAATTTCCACAAGACTCTGAGAATTGTGTGCATGCTTAGCGCTTTTTCTCCCTTATTTCTTTCCATTTGGATTCAATCTTCTTGTAACCTATCTGTAAATCCGTAACCTATAAATCTGTGTGGTTTTGAAGAAGCTATTCTTGATGTACTCTGCAGAAATCAATAGCAAGGTACTGATGAGCTGCACAAAACTCCAGTGATATCTGAGAAGAGCTTTTTTAGTTTGGTGTGTCTGTATTTTCTGCATGTCAAGATGCAGATTCTTCTGTTCTGTTTACTTAGTATATTTAACAGCCTGACAACAGTACGAAAACAGTATATTTGTCCCAAGCGTGCTCATAAAAATAATGCAAAAGACATTAGGCTAGATTCTGGATCTGTTCTTTTTTCTGTCTTATGAAGTAATTCACTGAAGCTACTGGAGTTACAGCAGTGTAACAAAATCAAAATAAGCCCCTCTGTGTTTCTTGCTTTCATTGAAAGTGGTCTGGATTTAGTGCAGGGTCTGTCCTGCTGACAGCATTTAAAATAATCTCTTATTTTCCCTATATATGTATATATACACAATATCTTTTTATCTACAACATCCAAGTTGTTAGGTTAGAAAAGTCACAGGGCCTGATTCTGCTGTTAGAACAGTTTTCCTGCGCGGAGTGATTTCTAGTTCATATCAATTCTTAGGAGCATAGGACAACCCAGATGATCAGGATTAGACTAAGAGTTCTGTCTCATAATCTGTTGGTTTTCATCCTCTAAACTCACCGTGGTTTTGATTAGTTTCAAAAGGAAAGGAGTGATTATAATAGATTTAGGAGAATTGCAGGGTGGGCAGATAGTTGTGTATTTTCTTGCTTATTCAAAACACAGCAAGAGTTTTTACCTTGCTGTCTATACAGTGGAGAGGTGTGATTTTATTTAGATGTTCTAGTTTAATAATTTTACATGTCTCCTATACCATTCTTCTTGGATTTTGCTCCTTGAGAACTCTGGACTGCAATTACACAAGCAAAGTTTTCTTTTTGCATGAATTGTTGTAAGCTCACAGGGCTCTGTAGGATTCCAAGTCAACAGACCTACAACAATTTGAATCTTGAAAAGTTCTGTCTCCATCCATATCAAACTTTGATGAGAAGTGCCGGTGGGGTTAAATCTCTATACCAAGTCTATATTCATACATTAGATCATAGTAAGAAGGGTTGCTCACTCCATTGGTAGCTAGGAGATTTAGTCCCTAAGCTAGGAGTGAATGTGCAGTGGATTTTACATCAAAAAAAACATATTTGTAACTATAGAGAACTGTATTGAAATGTCAGAAGAATTAATTCTTCAAAGGAGATGCTGGCAATCACCAGCTATAAGAAAGCATGACTTATTTATATTACAATATTTATTTATTTATTTGAGTGGGTCTTAAGTCCCACAGAATATTTATATTTATAAATATAACAATGTATTATAGAGACTGTTTCTTTTTATAAAAGTACCAATAAACTTTTCCTTCTCTCCAAATGGTGGATTCTGCATCATCTGTTCAAGCTCCCCATTCCAGAAGGTCTTGAGTGAACAAATGGTACTAGCTGTGTCTCAAAATTTGTATGTCCCACTATCCCCTGTAATTTTCAGTCTCATAGGTTGAAGCTTCCTGGGGGTTTCATGTACCACAACTATGAAAGTTCTGTGAAAGATGGTGAAGAAAACAAAGTCTTCGTAGATCTAGACTGACCATGAAGGGATTGTAACCTTTGCTGTGAAATTTCTGCAACCCAAAAGCAACAGCAAACCACCGGTCTAGCAATTCAGCCCTGCTAGGAAATATTTGTGATCCTGGTTCTAAGATCTTAGGGTAAAAGACATTTGGTAAATTACCATTGCTGCTCATACAAAATATTCTAACTACATTCTTAGGGCTATGCTAAGGCTCTGTTTTGCAGCAGACAGGTCACCGATTGAATAAACTGCAGATACCGTCCTCACAGTTCTGTCCTGCAATGGTCCCCAGGGCCACCAACACCCAGCAGAGAGCTGCAAAGTGGCAAGTGCTCGTGGGTCTGACAGATGACTGCCCCACCGTGCCTCCCCTCACTGCAGACGCTCTCTGGAGCTCTGTCATACTCAGCAGCATCGTTTGCATCTGCTACGGTGCCAGTACCGAGCGAGGCATCCCGTCACCACCAGGTACCACAGTACCGTTGCGCTTTGTGGGCAAGATGACAGGGGGCTTCAGTGGGAGGTGGTCAGGTAGGTGGGGGACTCACCTCTCTCATCCAAGATCCCTTTCTCCTCCCATTGCTAAAGTTTAGGGCCATGAATTTCAAAGCAGGAAGAAGCACATCAGGAACGTGCAAGAGAATTGAAGCATATAAGAAATGTAATAGACGCCAATGTATCATAAAAAAAATCAGCTGGTATCATTTAGTTGCCCACACACTTGAAATCTCAGTGCTGCCTTGGGACTGTTCAAACTCATTCACAGCAAGCTGTGCACAGTGAAATAAGAAGAAAGCGTGCTGCAGCGCAACCATGGCCCCAGAAACCATCTCTGCCACCCTCTCTCCTTCCAAGAGCAGGACAAACACAAAGGTTTGTTCAGTTGTTTTCTCTCCTTGTCCAGGAAGCTTCCAGAGGAACAGTCCAAAGCCTGTAGTTTTATGGATCATGAGGTGTTATTATAAATTATTTCTGAAACCATTTTCTCCATGGAGTAACCCAAATAAAACACCAAACATCTGCAAGGTACCTTAGCACAGCACTGAAGGCAAAAGCATGGACAATAATGGTAAAAGACAATCAAATCCAGACTGCCTGTTCCTGGTGTTCTTCCAAAAGCAGACATCTCCTAAAAAAGCACTTAGTCCCCATCTGTAGGCCAAACAAATTCTGGGAAATGCAACTGAAAAGTGAAGCGACTCTTTCTAGAAGTGTGTATAAATGGGCACATTAAAGAACAACACTTGAACAGCAGTGTGAATGGAGACGCTTGAAGAACATCTCAAAAGAGTTAACTGGGCCTTGTTTATTTACTTACTAAATATTGAAAGCTTTATCTTCTAACTCTTTAAGCCTGCATTGCTACAAAGAACCAGCAGAAAGCTGGACTGCATGTGAACAGTCCATGTATGCACACATCTGAAACATTTTTTCGTAAAGACATTTTTCAATTTCCATTTTTCAGGTAAAACCAAATTAAATAGTCATCAGAATCAGGTCCAGTGACCCTCACATTGCCTTTGGCCAGTGCTCTCTCCTTCCAGAGCTGCTGAAGATACAAGGACAAGAAGGGACTGAGCTGGCCACTTCAAGAGCCCCCAGTTACCTTTTCTATTGCTGGATTTTATCTCACTGCAAATTGTGTAATTTTACAAACTCTTCTTTCATAATAATCCTGTAATCCCGTTTGATAACAGTACCAGGCAGTAGTCGTGTCCAAAGCCCAGAATAAAAATGCTTTTGCAAAGCACCCATCAGCCCCTGGGTTTTCCCGTGGCATGGGCAAGGCTGTTGGTGGACTGGCCACAACAAGCTCAAGGGTTGCGAGTGTTTTAGGCGTCATGGGGAAGCCCTAAGTATGTTATAGCACAAGCCACACCTGCTGACCATAACACAGGCCCATGCAACCTCTGTTTCTGCTCTCCTGTCTGCTGTGCGGGCTGTTGCTAGGCTCCCTTCATCACCCACCCTCTTGTCTCCCCCGGAGTATTTTGCTTAGTAACTTAGCTGAGGGCTA